CCCCAAAACCCCAAAACCCCAAAACCCCAAAACCCCGTCATACAATTTTCAAACTGAAACCACTATTATTAGGTTATAAGCAATTAATAATACAATCTCATATAAAATTTATGAAGTATTCGAATTAAGATGCCTGGGATCTATCGAATAGTGTGATTCGAACTGATACTATATTTGTTTCAAAACTTTATAAACTTACACTATCAGAAAAGTCAAAATCTCTTGGAATTAGAAATTCTCCTTGACCATAATTATCTGTCAGCCATACACTGACTTTCGGAGTTGTTGATAAACTTAGTTTTATCAAGTAGATTTGGATCATTGTTGGAATCAAACTTAGAAAGCAATAGTATCAAAAATTGTAGAAGATAAACCCAAGTTTATTGTTGGTCAAAGAGTCCTCCTTCCATTTTGCAAAGAAGTCTTTCTTACTCAAAGCCAGAACCATACTACTTCTAACCTCGAACGCTATGAAGATAACTAAGGCGCTGATGATGAGTCTCCATTTAATCTTATTGCTAAGTTTGATTCCATGAGTATTGATATCTCGCTTCTTTAGAGTTTTATAGAATATGAACAAAATTACCGTAAAGAAGCCCCCTACTACCATGTAAGCCCCGGTCAGAATTAGAATCATAGGAGTGACCATGACAACATGATTCGGATTCTTTTCACAAGTATTCAGTCCATCAATAACAAAGGCAATAGTTAATGCTGCCAGAAGAATAAGCATGACTGCCCAAATAATTAATTTATATGCCATCCTCCTTCTTCTCACGTTTTGGAGTTTGAATATCTGTAAAACATATGTAAATGATAGCACAATAATAGTGTTTAGATACATTAGATAGTTCAGCCAGTAAGCCCAATAATTCAAACAAGGGCGTGTGTATTTTATACAGTCGTCATAGCGTTTAAAATATACTTGAGATACTCCGTAGGCAATATCACATAGAATGGATAACGTCAGGAAGAACATAAAAAGGCATGTCAATCTATGCTTAACTCCATAAATTCTTAAATATTTTGTGAAATACCAAAGCTGAAACAAAAGAGTAAGGACTCCGACTGACGAGTAGATTACCATCATGATCACATAGCCTTTACAGTTGGATATAGACTCATTCATTTTCTATTTGGAAGATATTGCAATATTTATTATTATCCTGGGGTTTTGGGGTTTTGGGGTTTTGGGG